CAGCTTTGGTGGGTTGGAGGTCACAACCTATTGCTTACTTAACAGGAAAGTTGGAATTTGGCAAAATGTTGAGATAGCGGCATCCGGAAGCCACTTCCCACCACACGCTACAATATTAAGCGACATGATATTGAGCATTACCTTCGTGAAATAGATAGAAATATAATATATTTTCTAATACGTAACACTTAAAACATCTTAACAAAATACGGTGTTTACTAACTTGGTTTCGTACTAGACCATTTATCAGACTGACTTGATTCAGAATCTCTCGACCTACATTTGACGTCAGAGATCAAACGATTCTGTATACCAATGGTTCCCAAATCAGTGTCGCGATGACGTTATGAAGGCATCTCAGAGGGTCGCCATGAATATTTTTGGAGGGTGGCAAAAAACTTATCTAAATATGAAATCGGAGTCGAGAGGCTCATACAAATATTTTTTTTATGGTTGCGCCTCAAAAAAGGGTGAGAACCACTACTTTTCACAAACAACATATGAAAGTAAACGGCCGATAAAAATTTGAATGCGTTCGAATAAGTAGGTTGCGACATTTGGCGATCTTATATCTAAGCAATTAGACAATGGTGGGAAGAATCTGCTAGTAAAAAGACGCTAAAGCTTAAAAATAAATACTACAGAAATAGGATATTTTAACGTAGTGAAAATTCACTCAAAGTCGACATTCAAGTTCTTCAAGTTGTAAAATTGAAGGCGATAAACCTATTCTATGACCTTTATGCTGCATGATAAAATGTCTTCTTGATTTGTGTAATATTCATTTCTGAACGTCATCATTACTCTAAAGGAACAAATTGGTTCGGGTTTTTTAATGTCTTAAAAGTAAAATATAATATTCCACTACCGATTTCATGCCGGTAGCTCTGATTCTAGGTTGTTATAGATGCTATCACCTAATGTTGATGCTTCTCTATAGTTAGTGAATAAACAGCACTAACGCACTTCAAGCCAATGCACCCATGAAATGAACAGCAAAACATTAAGCTTTCGACTATTAATGAGTCTTTTTCAAAGGCATATACAAAACAAAGACAAAACAAAGAAACATTAAAAAACGTTGTGTTTGTAAAACTCCATATGGCTGTCTCTACACGAGTTAAACCTATAGATGCACTATATCTCAACTAGCCTGTATAGACTTGTTGCGAATACTGAAAGATGTTTCTATTTCCCTAGAAGTCTATGAGCCATAGCGACATCTATAACTTTGTGTAACTTTATGTAACGCAGATTGTATCCCCGATATTTGATTCTGTACCGAATATTTTATTCTTATAGTATTAATCAAAGGATACAAAGAAGATTAAGAAAAGTTTGAAAAGAAACTGTGTCGGCTGCAAAGACTAACTCTACTAGTGTATAGCTTTCTTTTTCTAGTCTTCTTGGTTTATACTGCTTGGTTTAAATGTTCTAAGGCGGCATTTCCAGCAAGATTCCTTTTCCTTCCTGGTTTCGGAACTCCAGCTGTCAACATATGATAGAGACAAGGACATTCACAAACACAGTGACTAGAGAAAACTAAACATACATGGTCGAAACAAAACGTGCAAAACAGAGAATGTTATTTATCTCTTCACATGTAAGATCTGTAAACTTCAGTATGTCGGAGAAACTGAAAAGCTACACAAAAGGATAAACCTTTATAGATCTGATTGGATGACAAAGAAGCTGTACAGATGCCCGGTCGCAGAAAACTAAACCTCCCCTGGCCGTACTTTCAGTGATATAACACTTATCGCAATTGCTATCAACCCCAGCTGGAGTTACGTCGTCAGTTTATTGCATCTTTCTTAATCAATCCCTGTTATTCGCCATATGATTTCTATTATATATATATATATATATATATATATATATATATATATATATATATATATATATATATATATATATATATATATATATATATATATATATATATATATATATATATATATATATATACACACACACACACACACATATAGGAGATGCGCATTTTGGTTATAGCGCCCGGTTTAAGCAATTCTTAGGTTTGGGTGATTACTAGTTTGGCTATTGGAATTCGGTGGAATGGGAAATATTCCTTAGCCCGAAATGCCAATTACTTGGAGCAAACGTCACGGAGTGAAAGTGTTAGTGAGTTTCCATGATGCCATGGTTAATGAGTAGCAAATTCAGATTCAAACGGCATGACTGTCCCTGTCATAATGCAGTCTCTAATAAAATCCACTGGTGTACATTGGTGTTGTGAATGCAGTGGCAGTATTTACGGTAGGAAACCGGTAAATTACACAATGGAATAAACAAGAAGGGACTCGGCATACCGTTTATTTCGCCATGGTGGCAAATGTGAGGCAGTAGCATTCATGTGATGTGCCTTAAAACCGTAGATTGCCTGGCCTAAGGTGGCGTAGTTCCCTGTGTTAGGGGACAGTTGTAAATGTTCTACGGCGTGAACTGGTAACGTTACGAAAAGATGAAGAGAAACTGTGCAGTTTTGCGGTTGATAGATATTGGCAAGTTGTGAATAATGTGGTCTTGCATTTGTTAGAGTAAAATTTATGTATAGAATGGACACATCGGGCTTTCTAACTTACAACAGAAGTTGTATAGAAGTCTTTGGAAATTTGGGGTAAACTTATGACTTCTAGCGGGAATCGCACCAGGGTTTTGACACTTCCTGTTCGGTCAAGCAAAGACCACTGGCTCGTAACTATATATATATATATATATATATATATATATATATATATATATATATATATATATATATATATATATATATATATATATATATATATATATATATATATATATATATATATATATATATAAAGAATTGCTACCACAGTTACAGACCAGTTACAATCCTGGCGTACTTATAAATTTAAATTTTAAGGATCCCTTTATCGAACAAACATTTTACGATCCCATGACAAGGCAAACTTCCATCTATCTTCATCGTGTAACTAATATAGTACAGCCGCTGTGCTAGCATGTTTATAAAGTTCAAATTAATACATTTTTCTCAATCGAAAGTTAGCTAGTAGTGCGAAGGAAAAAATATGTTTGTCTTATGGAATGCTTAAGAAAAGATGAAAATTTAATGATGACAGTATTGAAATAAGCAGCCTAATATGAAATAAGCATCCGGGGATAAATATTTAAAAATATATATTCAGCTAAGTTGACAGTACAGCTAGAAGGTCTCATATCTATTTAAAGGTTTAGTATGCAACATAAAAATTCTACAAAATCAATTAGAATTTACAGTAAGCAAATTCTTATTAAAAAGCACCTCATGAAGTTACTGTTATAGACTCATCCATAGGAATGACAAAGTTGGATATGAATATGAAATAACTCATATCTTTGAAAAGACTGAAAAAATTTCAAAGTGCAGGAAAAAAATAGTCCCTGTTATGGATGGATGCCCTGTTGGCTTAATTATAATATTTAAATGCATTATGTCGAGCATATATGTGTGATTAAACCAAAATTCAGTAATCTTTAATAAGATTTTGAATGTTTAGATGCTTATATAATTTGAATCAATTGAAGAAAAAAAGGAAAAGATAAAACCTCACCCACCCCTCAACAACCGAAAATAACAAACTAAGCTGAAATGAAAGTATGGTCAGCTAAATAGTTGACAAATCCACCCGTCAAAACAGACAGGCAAAAGCTGACCAGGGGCAGACAGATGTGGACATTCAAACATAAACATGTTTACCATAGCTACAACTACCAGTACATTTTGACACGTTCTCAAAATACACCTTGGCCCAAAAGGAGATAACGAAGAAGGAGAATGTCATAAACGATGCTTTCTGAGAAAACTTAAAAGTGTAAAAAAACTGAAAAATTCAACTGGATGAAGGAAATGATGTGCAACAAAATAAGGAAAGGGTTTCTAGTACAATAAAATGCTTTTCAGATTTCTCAGCCAAAAAACATTCGTAGGCTTAAATATTAAGTAGAACTCCTACGAATGTTACAGGCAAAATATATTTTTATTTCATAAAATAGAAAATTTAAAGTCATATGATATGGACGACGTGTTCTTCAAAATATTTTTATTTCATAAAATAGAAAATTTAAAGTCATATGATATGGACGACGTGTTCTTCAAAATATTTTTATTTCATAAAATAGAAAATTTAAAGTCATATGATATGGACAACGTGTTCTTCAAAAGGTCTACACAGCATTAGCTAGTCGTCCGTGTGCATATTGGTTGTATTCCTTGTAGACGTTTGACTCACTAAGCAAAGAGTAAGATCCTTCTTTAAGTAATATGCCTAAGGTTTTCTTAAATCGTTTTAAAATAGCTGATATAAATACCTGTTATAAGTCTTTCATCAAATAATATTTGGATTTCCTCTCACCTTTTGCGCAAGCTTTCTTGTGTGTGTGTGTGTGTGTGTGTGTGTGTGTGTGTGTGTACACATATTTTTGATGCACATCTTTTACATTTCGAGGTTTTGTTAAATCGTTTTAAAATAGCTGATATAAATACCTGTTATAAGTCTTTCATAAAATAATATTTGGATTTCCTCTCACCTTTTGCGCAAGCTTTCTTGTGTGTGTGTGTGTGTGTGTGTGTGTGTGTGTGTGTGTGTGTGTTTGTGTATACACATAATTTTGATGCACATCTTAAACATTTCGAGGACGATACGTTATACCCATAATATATTTCATTGTACGTAAATGTTCGTAACACACATTTTTGGTTCTTTTTTTCTATTGATTATTCTATGAATCTAAAACTATACACAAACCAGCACGTGAAGTGACAGAAGCCGCGCACAGAAGTGTGTGAGATTCGCATTTGTAAACGTTGTCTTCTAATCTTCATCTTCGAATACGAAAGTGTTACATTTTTGGTTTACAGTTTTGGTACTAGCTTTCTGGACCTACGCGGCCATTTTTGAAAAGCCTGAATGCAATCTTTACCCCTGTAAACGATTGATCTGTAACATTTATCAATTACCGCTCCAAAGGCCTAGTGGTTAGTGAGTCCGCCTTGGATAAGGGAGGTCGTGGGTTCGAACCCCGGTTGGCGCTCAGCATCATGAGGTTAGTGTTATGACTGGTCAGTCTAGTGTCAGGATAAAGACTGGGTGGAACATCATACCACATGTCTGCGGCATGGATGCCCCAGTGCTATACATCAATATGAACTGTCACACTGCAGACATGGTAATAATATGACTGAAAAATTGTTAAAACTTCATTAAAAATCTAAATCACAACCACACGCAAATACATACACATTCATCGTATTCACCGTAAACATTTACACCAAGTATACATGAAGTTAAAAATTCTGATTTAGTGCCTTGTGCTAGACTTTATTAGCTATGGTAAATAGATTATGTTTTAAGCTGGGGACTATTCGCTAGACGATGGTTTAGGCTGGGAATTATTCGTTAGATGATGGTTTAGGCTGGGGACTATTCGCTAGACGATGGTTTAGGCTGGGGACTATTCGCTAGATAATGGTTTAATCTGTGGACTATTTAGGATGTGGGCTCTTTGTTAGATGATGGTTTAGGCTGTGGGCTATTCGTTAGATGATGGTTTAGGCTGGGGATTATTCGCTAGATGATGGTTTAGTCTGGGGACTATTCGCTAGGGTTTATAAATCAATTTTATTTTCGAGACTATTCGCTAGGATCTGTAGATAATTGTTGGCTGTGGATTGTACACTAAGATGTATATATTAAGTTTTAGTTCATTTTTATGCGCTATTCACTAGGGTTGAAATAAAAAAGTTTGGACTGTGCTCTTTTTGCTAAGGATTATATATTAAAATTTAGGCTGCGCTTTTTTCGTTAGTGTGTATATTCGGTCTTAGGCACTCAAGTAACAACTATTTTCCACTGAACGTTTCCATCGTTTATTGTCCATAAGTAAAACTTTTGTTTACAGACGTCAAAAATACTTTTCTTGATATGTAATAATTACAGTTATCAACGCAAAATTCACCATTTTAAAAAAGATTGCATTCAACTAGGAACTTAATTGTTAATAAGTACTGTATAAACAGGTCTATGCTGATGTTCAGTTAAATCTCTCTCTCTCTCTCGCTCGCTCTCTCTCTCTCTCTCTCTCTCTCTCTCTCTCTCTCTCTCTCTATATATATATATATATATATATATATATATATATATATATATATACACACCTTCTTGACGCTGTGTGACAAAAATTAATACGTTGCAACTATATGATAACCTTACACCAATAAAGGTGAATAACTATATTTAATTTATCTCATGACATCCTACGAAATGACTCAGTCAGGAACTGGATGAACTAAAATAAATTTGCAGTCGACAGCAAATACCTGAAGATAGGAGAGTCCTTGAACATATAGTTCAGCTATCTTCGCATGATTCGTTTGTGGTTTGTGTCTGGGTACATTATTTGCAACCTACATTATTGCCCTATGTACATAGTTTCCAGTTATATACGATTCATCCAACATTTGGGAAGCTTAAAAATGGACACATGACTGGCCAAAGTGACAAAGTGACAACATGGAAGTAATATCTAACAAATGGTCATCAATTGCAATAATATTCCCGCTGCTTTCAAAAGATTACTTGACCTCACCTCCTGTCCCCCTCCCCAAGATACAACAATTGTCTGGAAACTTAAAGGAAATTAATAAAGTGAATTACTAGTCCTTAAGGTGTTTTCATTCAAATCATTTCTAAATTTTGTTTGAGAGGAAATTAAATAATGCATTTAAAATGCAGAAGTGACGGTTGCAAAAATGTCTAAATTAGTTTTAATAGGTAGTTGGTTTCTGATGCGCCACCTGTTTTTTCTCTGTCCTTAGTTTGACCTTAAAAGCCTGTGCTGACTGTTTGTAGGTTATCTGTCTAGAAACTTGAATGTATATAGGTAGTTGAATGGTCTATTTAGGTCAGTGTAATGACCAGGAGGACGTGTGTCTAGTCCCAGTCTGCATTATCTGCAGTACATTTATCTTTAGGTTGACGAGCATATCTGATGTTATTAACTTGATTCCTTATATTGCAGTGGCAGTTATCATTGCTTTTTGTTGCTGTTTTGTTTTTGTTTCTGGAGTTGTTGGTTTGTTTGGGGGTGGGGAAGGGATTGTTAAACCTGAATCCTGGTATCAAGATTAATAGACTTTGTATCATGAGAAGACCTCTCATGAATTATACAAAGATATACACGAAAATATTTCTATTCACGAGAAAGTGCATCGACAATCAGATTGTCTTTTCCTTTGATATGCCTGATGTAAAGATTGTACTTTTGCAAAAATATACTTCATTATAGTCTTTTTTTTTATTTTTCATTTTGTTGATTTAAGTAAGGTGGTTGTGATCACTGAACACAACAACTGGAAAAGGATCTGAGCTAATGTAAACTTTAAAATTCTATAATGTTGGTATTAAAGCCAAGCATTCCTTTTCGATTGTTAAGTATAGTCGTTGATGCTTATTTGATTTCTTAGAGAAACAGCACACTGGATGTTCTCCACCATTTCTATCATCTTGAATCAATACTGCCCCAACCCAAACATAACTTGCATCCACAGATAGTTTGAATGGTTGACTAAAATCTGTTAGAGCTGTTAGATCTGGTGTATTTTTAAGTATGGCCTTTAACCAATCAATAGCCTCCTGACATTTGTCAGTGCAAGGAAAGTTCTCTTTTGTCAGAGGTTCAACAATATTAGAGAAATTAGAACAAAATTTGCGATAGTATCCAGCCATACAAAACAATCGCATTAGCTCCTTTTTACTGATAGGCACAGGGAAATGAGAGGTAACCTTGACCTTAGTATCTTTAGGTTTAAATTGACCGTGTCGTACAACATGTCCTAGAAAAGTAACACAAGAACGGCAAAACTCACTTTTAGATAAATTAAACGGAAATTTGCATCTTTCTGTCATTGAATTTCCGAATCGTTGCTAGACGTTCTTTCCAGGTGTTGCTGTAGATGATAACATCATCAATATAAGCATCACAATTGTCTAGACCAGAGATTATCATATTCATAAGGCGTTGAAAAGTATTTGGAGAACCCTTCATCCCAAATGGCATTACTTTATATTAGTACAGTCCATCTAGAGTCACAAATGCCGTAATTTCTTCTGCCTTTTCCTTTAGTGGAATTTACCAAAATCCTTCCATATGGACTGATTTGATGACGTATTTGGCATTTCCAATTTTGTCGATACAATATTTGATTCTTGGAAATGGAAACAAATCTCTTTTGTCATACTGTTCACCTTCCTATAATCAGTATACATTCGATAGTATTATCCAGTTTTGGAACAAGTAAATAAGGTGAACTTCAATCACTCTTACTGGGCTCTCTAAAATCATTTTCCACCAAATACTGAATCTCCATTTTTATGTATTCTTGTTTCAGAAGTTTCATCTTGTATGGGTGTTGTTTCATCGGTTTTGAATCTACAATTTCAACGCCATGAAAAAGTTCGTTTGTCCTTATAGGTAGATCTGGTAACAAGGACTCATACTCAGACAAAATTTGTTTAAGTTCACCTTTTTCTTGTTGTTGTAAATGAGAAAGGTTCTGGTTTAGATTTTGCAAAATTTCCGAATCCCGAAGATTTTTTTGTCCCAAGATCAGTAGAACCCGACTAAATTCCTTCACTCAAATCCTCAGTTCGTGGGACAACTAAATTATCTGCATAATTTACTTGACTATCACCTTCAATATACTTGTACTCCACTAATTTATTTAGAACAGAGTACTATTACTATAATGGAACTTATTCAGTTTCATTACTTTGTAAATGCCATAAAATCTAATTTGAAGAGAATTTTGACGTATGACTATGAGAAGATGAACTCTATTACAAGACTCAAATGTTCTCTCAAGTAAAGTTCAGTGAAACCACAATTTCACGTCTGACTTAAATTGATGAGCGCCAAATTCATCCATAACAAGCTGGAAAATTCCAGACATAAAAGTTGACCCGTGATCCGATTGGACAGATTTGGAAAGGCCAAATTGAGTTTTAAAAAAAAGCCTTTATGAATGCTTTTATTGTCTTTTTGGTTTTAATATTCCTCAAAAGATTTGCCTCCGGGAATCTTAATGACTCACACATAATGATACAAATATTGGTTGCCTCACTTGGTCTTTGGTAAAGGAATAACACTTTCTACCGTAATTCTACTGAATGGTTCGCCAAATTCAGAAATAGGTTGCAAATGAGCCTTAATTATTTTGTTTTGCTTGGGTTTTCCTACCATTTGACAAGTATGAACAGATCTACAGAACTTACAAACATCACTTTTGATTTTTGGCCTTAAAAGTTAGTTAAGATCTTGTGATAAGTTTTATTTATCACTAAATGCCCAGCCAGAGGAGTTTCATGGTCCAAACAAGTATTTCCTGTCTGTAAGATTTTGGAACCACAATATAATAGTTCACTGACCATTCGTCATCAGCAGGTACCTTTGGAGGTCTCAATTTTCTCATAAGAATTCCATTTTAATGAAGTAGCAGACAGGTACTTCATTAGCTTCAGTTTCACTAATGGCCCTATGAAACAAACAGATCCCATGATCTTTTTCCTGTTCGACGACAAGTGATTGCCGTTTGTCACCCTGGTTAGAAAAAAGAGAATGAGTATTCAAAAGAGAATCACTAAGATCAATACCGTTTAATTGATCCAAATTAGAAGATTAAGTGACCTCATCAAAAGCCTGACTAATATATGTGTCACATCGAATAATACATTGTTATCAAAGTCATTATGATGAGCTTTGATTGCTATGGCTCTTGTAACTGCACAAGATGGGTATAAAACGGATTTCATTTTCAATAGGATCAACATTTTGATCTAAGAAAGACTTGACAGTTACATGTGTATTAACCACTACCGTTTCTCCAGCTAGGTCGTTGCCTAGCTGAAAATAAATGACCTAAACTGTAAGAATTGTCAGAGGTCCTGAAACTTTGTCTGATAACAAATGTACAGAATAGAGAGCAACATTAACAAAACCTCACTGTATTCCCTGAATCAGAACAGTGTCATTAGAAC